CTGCTAGAGACTGAAGCCAGGGCCTTGCGCGTGACAGGCTGGTGCTCTACCACTAAGCTACACCCTTGGCCCCTTGGGTCTGCATCTTTAAAAGGTGGTGCTTTTTTTTCTTTTCTTTTCTTTTTTTGGAGACAGGGCCTCATTATGCAGCCCAGGCTGGCCTTGAACTTGCTGTGACCCTCCTGCCTCAGCCTCGGTTTCAGGCATGCGCCACCATCCTAAGGGTGGTGCATTTTTCATTCTCCTGTTATACTCCTCCTTGCATGCTGGGATGTAAATGGAATAGTGGGAGCTGAAGAATCCAGGGGCCTGGAAGCTGTCGGTGATTCTTGGAACCACAGACAGTGCACCAGACGGGCGGTGACCCGCCTTGGATTTTTTCCACAGGGGAGACATAACTCTGTTCTTGTTTAAGTCACTGTCACTCGAGTTTTCTGTCCTTTGCAGCCAATCCTGGTTCTTTCTAACGCAGACTTTCCAACTTGTGCATCTGCCCATCACGTCAAGTAGACCGAATGCTCCTTGGGAATATAGGTTCTGATGCCGTGCTGTACTTGATGACTGGCCTAGATTCCAACGCGCTTTTTGTTACATAACTCGGGATGGGTCACTCTTTTTAATATTAGTGGGGGTGGTGGTGGTGGTGGTGTATAATGGTACATAAACGTAAAAAAAAGGTCAAGCTTATCTACTGATAATTTAGATGTTGTCAGAGTTACTTTTTCTCCTTGTTTTTGTTTTAGTATTTGAAATTAATTCAGAGACAGGAAAAAGATTTAAGAAAATAGGATATTATTCAGGTACAAAACAATACCTATTAGGACATGCTTCTGAATGGAGATTTTTTTTTTAAAAGACAGGGTCTCACTGTGCTGCCCAGGCTGGTCCTGGAGTCCTTGGCTCCTGGGGTCCTCCTGCCTCAGCTCCCCAAGTGGGAGGACAGACTTCAGGTACACCATCACACTGGCTTGAATGAAGATTGATTAATTTTGAGGCAAGGTCTCACTATGTAGTTGAGGCTGGGCTTGAACTCACAATGTAGCCCAGGCTGGTCTCGAATTTGCAGAGATTCTCCTGCCTCAGCCTCCCAAGTGCTGGGATTATAGGTGTGAGACACCATACAGGCATGGAGAGTTTTTCCAAAGAAATTTTGATTTTTTTTTTTCCCCCTCTAGTACCGGGAATTGAACTCATGACCTTGCGCTTGCCAGGCAGGCACTGTGCCGCTGAGCTAAATCCCCAGCCCCAAAGAAATTGTGAAGACATGGCTAAGATTTTTAACAATTTTTTCAATCAGACAGATGTAAATTATTAGAAGGTACTACAGTATTTTTTCTCTGGTTTAGTTTCCATCAGAAGGGCGACTCTCTACACACTCCTGGCCTCCTGCTCTTTTTTACTATACTTGTTCTCCAGGTAGGAGACTTCCATGGTTGGTAAAATTTGCAAGAATTTGTCTGGCTCAGCACTTCTCCCCCCTCCGAGCACTTGCCAAGGACGGTGGACGTGCTAGGGAGACCAGATGTCCCCCATCACTGCTCTGCACCCCGAGTGATGAACACCTGTGCTTGCCGTTCTCCTACATGACTGAAGCCTATTTTCGTCCCATCGATCATTAATTGTAAATTGGGGGACCTCAGTATATCAAAGAAAAATATTTTGTTTTGGTTCATTTTCAGGTCTAGAGAAATTGCTTATCCTCACCTATAAACTCTTCTGTGTGCTGGGAGTCAGGTTCCCTCCTGTGTCTAAATCACTTCTCATAGTAAAGCACCAACAGTTCTCTGGTGACCTGAAAGAATTCCTGACCCCTGGCCCCCAACACTCAACTTCGCACACGGTCACTGGCGCCAGGCGGACAGGGCCTCCCGCTGTTACAGGCATGCACACTCCATCCCCGACGCTGCACACGGGTGTCCCACCAACGCCCGCATGGCGCTGATGGAGATCTGGTGTCTGTGTTTCCCAGGAGCTAGGTGGGCTTGTACCTGTTCTTCTAAGTTATAGATTTCTTTCTGAAACACCGTCTCACTATGTAGCCCAGGCTGGCTTTGAACTCCTGGCGATGCTTCTGCCTCAGCCTTCTTTGTGCTGGGATGACAGGCCTGCACCACCCAGCCTGGCAAAATTATACAAAATGTTCTATTCTGATCAGGGAATAGCAGATGAAAGGAGAATAATATAAACACTTTCCAAAGATCCACTTTATGCCGGACACTAAACTAAGCACTTTACATATTCTAATAAAACTCTCTGAAGTAGGCAAGAACTTGCAGTAGGGAAATTCAGTGAACACTCAGGATCACGCAGTAAGTGGTGGTTCCAACATGGGAATCAGGCCTGACACACAGCCCGTGCACCTTGTGCCGTGTGACACAGCCTTCCCCAGCCCTGCTCCCGGCCACAACTGCTATAACAACGACTTTCTCCTGTTTTATCTCTTTAGGACTCCAACCAGCCTGTGGCAGATTTCTTGATTTAGGTTCCACCTCTGTGGTCTTTAAAACCACCTGCTCTCTGCGGAGACCACAAGCACACTGTGTAGCTCTTCCTGTCCAGATGGAGATCTGTTCCCTTCCTCTGCCTGGGGCCTGCCTATGTGATGCTCTAAACAGTAGAGGCAGGGGCACACGAATGACCCTGCTTCTTATCAGATGGGTCACCTAGCTGGGCCCAGCCACGTTGCCAACCCACAGAACGGGGAGTGCAATGCTTGCTGTTTTAAGCCACTGGGTTTTGGGGTGGTTTGGTACACAGCAAAAGCTAACTGATACAGCTTCTCTGGCCTAGATTAAGAGACTCTTTGCAGTTAAAAACAGATGTGGATAGACCCAAAGGTCATTGAAAATTTACTAATGATGGCTTATTCATCTATTCTGCTTCCTACAAGTCCAGTCTGATTCAACGTTAGTACTCCCTAAAACCACATAGGTTATATAGTTAAAAAGCTGACAATGGCTAGATGTGGTGGTGCAAGCACTAGGGAGGCTGAGGCAGGAGGATGGCTTCAAGCCTGAGGCCAGCCTGGGAGTTCAAGACCAGCCTGAACTATATACAAACAAACAGTCACAAACGACAAACAGAAGGTGACAGTGAACTCACGCAGCCTTCCCCTCTCCTATGCTCCTTGAGGCAACTCTTATCTCCTCATAGCACCCAGCACAATCCTCCTGTATATCACATATCCACAGAAAACAATTCCCGAGCAATAGAAGAGAGATTATTTTAATCCCTAAGGAACCTAAAACCTTCCAACCACTTTGAAGGACAGTGTAGTCATAGCCTTAGTGTTAAAATCTGGCAACTTTAATGCCGGGCGTGGTGGCGCACGTCTGTAATCTCAGTACTCGGGAGGTTGAGGCAGGAGGATTGTTGGAGAGCAGCCTGGGCTACAAGGTGAGCTCAAGACCAGCCTGAACTGCACAGGGAGACCCTGTCTCAAAAAGACAAAACAAACAAACAAACAAATAAAATCTGGCAACTTTAATTAGAAATGGACAAAAGCCATGCACATTGGCTACAGCCAGGGCTTAGGAGACTTACTCCTTGAGTTTTAACTACATTGTTCATTTTCATTTGTTTGTTTTTGGTGCTGGGGATGGAACCCAGGCCTCCCCCATGCTAAGCTCTCTACCACCGAACTTCACATCCAGGTCTCCTTGGGAGACAGCTTAGGGTAAAACTAGGATCTCAAATTTAAATATGTACCAAAGGTCCTATGAGCATCTGCACTTTTTTTTTCTTTTGTGGGGTGTGCATCTGTGACTTTTTGAGACAAGGTCTCGCTATAGAGTTCAGGCTGGCCTTGAACTCACTATGTAGCCCAGGCTGGCCTTGAACTCACAGTGAATCTCCTGCCTCAGCCTCCAGAGTGCTGAGGTTACAGGCATGCACCACCATACCTGGAGAGCTTCTCTACTTCCTGAACATAACTAAATTTTAGCAAAAAAAGAGAAAAAATTGGGAAGAAGCTCCCTATCTAACTGGCTGGTGCTTAAACACAGAATAATGATGAGTTCTTGTTCACACTCAGTAAATTTCCAAAGCACCATAATTCTAGAACAGCATATCACAGTTTCTGAGAGAATGTTACTTCATGGACAAAACAGGCTTTATCTGTAAAAGATCAGAGTTAACTTGCTAAAAATGAATTCACTATTAGGGCATTCTTCCCTTTATATCAAAATGCCTTTCTTAACATAAACATAACATTAGTCTTTCACACACTCATGAGTGTTTCAAGTTCAACAAAAGATAGAACTCCAGAGACAAATCAGAGTGCTGCATTTACAACCATTACCTCAGCTACAAACACGGAGGCACAAAAAAGCAGTAGTCTCCCTAATGACCCACAGTGACCCTTAATGATGTTTCCAGAGCTGAGCCTGAACCGCCAAGCTGCTAAATCACTTGCAAAAATTACCCTGTACCCGGTGACCGAGCTGAGCAACGGGTTACTCAAAAATGCTGTGACATCAGCTGGGCCCTGGCCACGTGCACCGCACACCCAGGTGGCTCACCTCTGGAAAAATGAGGATGGCCTAAAAGCTGATTCTGTGTAATTTTTACACTTGGGATGCAAGCCAGGGAGACAAGATTAGCAAATCGAAGGCCCAAATACAGAGCATGACACGAGCACTCTCTCAGGAGTTTATAAGCTATACTACCCATAGCTCTCTTGGGGGAGGGCGTCCTACTGTGTTTCAGATCTAGGGGCCTCCATCAATTCTCCGATGATTCTAATTTCATTTGTCCCTTCAAGCTAAGTGTTCAGAGTGCCTACTGCTAGGGTAAGTGCCATTTCTTGTGAGATGATTCTGTTATGTACCTTCCTGAAAAAAAAAAAAAGGGAAAAGAGGAAGCAAAGAAAAAGGATAACTTAAGGGACTGCTTGATGCACGCAGGATATAATACATATTTATGAAACACAGGTGTAGATACTTTTGCATTTCATTGAAGTTGAATTAGGTGAAAAATGGAAAAATATCTTTCACCAGTACCTGTATCCTAAGTCTTCACTGAGATGGATCATATGAAGGATATACGACTCCTTGCTGGTTCCAGTGAGGCCAGGCAACAGTAAGATAGTGGGCCGGGTGCTGGCATCCGTGTAATATGCACTGTTATCATTATCAAACCAGTCCAGGGAAACCTGCCCTCCATCTGCGGTTTTAATAAGTTCGCTGAAAGAAACAATTACAAAGACATTACTCAGTAAGTATTTCAAGTTCTGTCTTAACGTTAGAGTTTTTCCCCCTTATGGATTTAATTTTTCATTATTAAGTTTATCGGTACAATTTAGATATACATATTAATCGCATTCATCATAGGGAATGTTAGGGTTTGAATTCCACAAATACACCACATTATTTGGTCCTCTCCAAACAGCTTATGTTCAGCAGTCTCACACAGACATATCTGTATGTCCCTTTCAACACAAGGATGTTATAAAGATTAGTACCATATATTTCCAGCGTCCCCAGTAAAAGGTAATACACAAAAATGAACTGGGAGTCACTTCAAACATTTGAGCTGGGGATGTGGCTGCGGAGCATTTGCCTAGCATGTGCAAGGCTTTGGGTTCGGTGACCCAGCACAGCAGGAGAGAAAAAAAAAAACCTCAAATATTTATCCTGTAATCATTTCCTCATTACTCTAAATACCTAGCATTTAACCCCGATTTGATGGAGGTCACTCAGATTACTCAACAGGGCATCGTAAAATGCAGATCTGATTATGCCAGGAGCTCTTTTGACCCAATAATGCAGCCTCCTCACACAGCCTAGTGCACAATTTGCTTCTTAAATAAGTATTTGTTACTTAGTATCGATGAACTGCACAGAATTTTCCCAAATTGTACTTGTTTCAGACAACAAAAAAAGAACTTCAGAGGCACTAGATGACTCAGGAAAATTAGTAACAGGCACCATTCAACTCTCCTGGCTATACATTCCTGGCTACATCTGTAACACCTCAAGGTCGGTCTCACCAAGAAAGCCTCTGCTTGTCAAGGGGAACCCCCGGGCGCCTGGCCCCCGCTCTGCCACACATCAATGAACCGGTGCTGTCACCAAAGCGTGTGCTCAGGACAGACGCAGGACGAACGGGGAAGACCTTACCCCAGGTACCTCTCCATCCTAGAAATAATCCATTTACTCGGGGGAGCGGGGCGCAAAAGAAGCAAAAAGAAAAAGGAAAGGCAATCGCTGAGTATTTCCCTGCAGCTTCAAATGGGGTAGGGGGATGCTGTCATTTCCTCCCTGTGCCCGCTCCTCGACCCCGAAGCCCGCGGTTCTGTTAACCAAGAACTGTGCTCCCAAACCCGGGACTTGGAAGAAACGTCAGAAAACGACATGTACTCACTTCCTGTACTGCACGGGGGGCTTGGCAGTGATGAAGGGTCTCAGCAGCGTCTGTCCCCGGCTCTCCCAGCACCACACGGTCGGGTAGTAAGTTTCGGTCACCACGGGACAGTGCTCCTGGAGAAAGCGGCTGAAACTTTCGCCGCCCGTCACCAGCTGGGGCTTCTGCAGGCGAAGCCGGTGATCAGCGAAGGGTCCGGAACGGAGCGAACTTTCTGCCAAGCGTAACCGCAGCCTGCGCAGAGCGGCCCCCCCCCGCCACGCGAGACACCCCGAAGACAAGTGCCGGGGGACCGCCGCGGAGAAGTCGCAATCACGACCGGCTAGGCGGTGGTTTAGCAGCTCCCCGGGGCAAAGGCGAGCGCTGAGGCAGGGAAGTGCCACAGGGCGCCCGGCGACACTGCCGCCCGCGGACGGTGACCGCGCGGCGCCGGGCGCAGCGTCCGCAGGGTCCCGCCTCAG